TTCAAGGACATGTTAAAACCGGAACATCCATTGCATGACCTTGTGCCGCCCCAGAGATGTACAGCCACTGGCAGGCAATTAAGGAACAATCAGGAGTTTACGCTTCCGAAGGCCAGAACTGAACGTTTAAGGGGATCATTCCTACACATTGCAGTCAAACTATACAATAAGTCTGTTTCCTAGACTAAGCTTTGGATTCAGTGCTCTGTTTAATGTTGTAGCTAGCATTTGTGGTAGCCGCCTGCATATTGTTACCCAGCATATTGCATAAGTGTTGTAAAAAATGTACGCAATTCAGGGTATATGTGTGATTGTATGTATCCCTGCTGATTGTATGTTTTGAGGAAGAAATAAATTTGTAGATAAAAGTGGTAGGCCTGATAGCCATAATGAGAGTTGGAATAAGAGACACACACAGTGCTGTTGCCATTTTACTCAGGGTCCTCTCCAGAACAGACTCTGTCAATACTGTAACATGAATAGAATAGAAGATGAACAAGTTAACACTTTATTTTAGACCGTACTTTATATTCTAATGAAAGATCTGTCCTTTTTAATCATATCAAAGAGAAGTTCCCATACTTTGAACACCTAAGCGCAAATGATAAATTTATATTTTTGATGCGTCTAGACAAACCCTGTATCACAAACATGATCTGCTCCCATATTTTTCACTGTACAAAAAAGCGAGAAGAAGTTGACCTGTCTGTATTAGCTCAGTGACTAGAACACTACGTATTAGCCTAGTATAGTACCCTTGTATGTTCCTTATGTATGTATGTCTAAGTCAAGTAGTGCATCTTTTGTCTCCAATTTTCTATATACGTTTGTTATGTGTCTGTCATACTCAGTATCTTGACCTGTACCTAGCCCGTCGTGGCATGAATGTACAATAAAGGTATTTCAATTTCAATTTCAATTTAATGATAATTGTGTCAAGTTACATTCGGTCTACCTCAGGACTCTAACAGCACTGTAACAGTCACTTTTGTTGCATTTTAACGTCATTTTAAAAGTTTAATGGTAAAAGATTTTGCTTTGCTGCTGATAATGTTTCATGTGATTTGAATAAAATAACTACTTGAACATTGACAAGCATAAAACATAAATGTTGTCTATTGTATTTTCTCTATAGCATAGCATTGTCAGCAAATAATGGAACCACAGAACACAAGGTCATCGATTTAACCCCTGCCTTTGTACACTATCATTTTTAACTGGCTCTAACATGTCAAAAAGTATTTAACAAGTGCCGTGAATGACTTAAAAGTACACATCATTCACTTTATGCAAGAAAAACAGCAAAAAGGAGAATAACAAACCGTAGAACGCCTAGTCAAGAAAGATGCCGGTGTGCAATGGCGATTGCCTCGGTTATTGCCGCTCACATGTACCTGTACAGTTCTACACAATGTGCTTTAACCCTACCGGGGCGGGGGGGAGGGCTAAAAGTGCCCGCGCCAACTTTAATGTCACCTAGCGTCTGAACGGCTAGCGCTAAAACGGCTAAACTTGGTGACTTTTCCTAGAATATTGTTGGCAACAATTCTCTATCATTGGAATAAGATAATATTTTTTGTGTTGCCATGGCAACGGGTTTCTGACAGGCATTTTTTTGTTGAATACCATTAAGTTTTCAGGGAAAAACCTATCTAGACGGTTTTGGCAAATAAAATCATTAATGACGTCATCATGACGTCATATTACGTTATAATGACATAAAAATTATACATATGATAAATTTTTACTAGTGCACCATCCTCTAAAAATTTGGTGGTCATACGACATACCGTTCGCGAGTTCTGAGGGGGGTCAAAAGAACTCCCCCCCCGGTCCCCCCATGCCAAAAAAAGCTCGGTCTAGATAGGGTTAAAGCACGCTACCGCTATGTAACCATTCACCATTAGGAGTCAGAGCGACTCCAGTGGCACACCGCCCTTTGACTGGTCCCAGTTTCTGTTTGAAAGTCCCGTCAGGCGCGAACACCTGCACACGGCCGTCCCCTCCGTCACTGACAAAATGACACTGGCGCCTTGCCGCACTGCTCGGTTTCAAAACAGCCCTGAACCATCTCTACTGAGTCTGCTTAACACGAACAAATAATACGTTGTAAATCAACCACACTCAGATGTTTTGTTATTGTGATATTTTATTTTAATCGACATTTTTAATATTTCGTAATATTTTATGCTATTCGTCATATTGAGTTGTGTCCTATGTAAGTGAAACGTATTTCAGCCTGATGGCTGCAATGTTTTACCATTCATTCATTCATTCATTCATTCATTCATTCATTCATTCATTCATTCATTCATTCATTCATTCATTCATTCATTCATTCATTCATTCATTCATTCATTCATTCATTCATTCATTCATTCATTCATTCATTCAATGATGTTGCCTGCCTTGTCGAATGTTACACTTTCTGGTCCTTGAAATTCGCCAGCATTGTCACCTTGTCTACGAAAATCAAACTTCAGGTTTCCGTCAAGGCCAAACGCGAATACTTTGTGTGCTTCGCGGTCTGTTACGAACATCACATCACGGGACTAGTCTACCGACACGAACACTGGCTCCTGTAACTGCCCCTCGTCGATCTCCCGTAAGAGGCTCCCGTCAGGCTGCGAGAGGAGACAGGAGTCTTCCCTTGAATCTGGGCGGTTTGCCACCACCATGCGCCCGTCCTTTAGTACTGTCATACCGTGTGGATCACATGCAGTCCGGCGTCATCCTCCCATGGCAAGGGCAGCGGCTCCGAATTCCTTCTCCACCCCTTGTGGAGAAGGAATTCGGAGCCGCTGCCCCTGCCATGGGAGGATGACCTTGCGAGGCATTGTAGAACTGCGCGCAATGCATAATCAAATTATGCCAAATACTACTAAGTACCACAGAACTTTCTTAAACCCATCCTTTCCTTTCTTGTTCATTCTTGGCTGCATGATATCTCATTTCTATCACACTTAAGTCTATATGAAGGTAGAAAATCTGTAAAATTGGCCAGCTAGAACAGTAGTGTTGTACAGTAGTAATTATCTGGCGTAAGGCTCTTAAACTTTTAAACTTTAAGTCTCAAAGGCCAGGTAGGACTTTTTTGATGCTCAGGCAAATATGATGCGTGGAAACGACTTCAGGGGAATGCTACATCCTGTTTGTAACATTTCCGTCTGGACGAACACAGGTGGCCATTTCATTTAGAACGAAGTCAAAAACATATTAACCATATTTGGCAAGGCAGGTTACTGATTTTAGAGAGAAGTATTCTGACTGTGCAAGCGTTCCATTATTGTCTTCTATTTTTACAGAATGACAACAAGAAGCCATCGGTGACAATTCTCCGTGAAGTATTATATATTGCAACAAAAAGAAGTAGCCATTGGCGGCAATTCTCTGTGAAGTGTGATAAATCGAACAAAGAAAAATTGTTTAAACGCGCGTCGGCTCAGTCATCTTAAGACGCAACAACCAATCAGAGATGCGAAATGCCGACACGTGACGCGGGATTTGCATACAGTCTAAACAACGGGGAAGGGCGCGCGATGCCCGAAATATTTTTGCGTCAATATTCAGCGCCGTGTTTCAAGAGATTAATATCGGGAAACAATTTCTTTTCTCGTTTTGAACGCATAAACATGCATTTACGCTAATCTAGTATGATTCAGGGTTACTTTTTTTTACCTGCCATGGCCAGATTATCTTAATATGTGTGTATTGTGTGTACAATCTACAGAAAGAGAAATGTAAATCAGGTCCGATCATCCGATTTTCACGTTTCGGTTTTTTGGACTCGGTTCATGAACGTATTTTAGTTTGGCTCCTGGAATGTGCGAATGTGCGAAAAAATGACTCCCGGGACTGTCTACAGGGAACACTCGCATATTGCCCAACATTCGCGGTGTATCAGGACAGCGCGACAGGTCGTCATTAGCGCAGTCCCTGTAATTAGTAACAGTTGCACATCACTCCGGCCGAAAGCATGATTGTGTAACACAGGCTACTTCTTCATATACCGGCTCATACTACAAGACGCCTTTACAACTAGCAAATCATAAAATTACCCGATCTACTAGAGGCAGAACACATTGATGGGTTGCTCAAAAATATTGTCCATGTTTACAAAGAGCTGCTCCACTAACACTATGGAGCGGCCCAACCCAAAAATATTGGCCAGCATGCTCGTTGCTAGGACGACCGGCCAGTTGCTACGTGGCACGCCGCCACTAGGTCGCCACAGCCGACCAATTTGAAATCGATAGGATTACGTCATCGGTATTTACATTTCGTAATGTTGACCTCTGACCACCCCACATTTCCGTCCCCATCAGCCTGACCGCGACTTATAATTACTACCGGTCACATAAACGGGCGACAACATTATTTCAACGACATGGGGATGTTTCGAAAATAACCATTTACTCCAATATCAAAACAGCTACGGTAAAAATAAAAAGACGTGCATCATCCCGGACATAATGCCACACCACATGCGAAATTACACAGAAATGCGACGTACGGAAGAATGCGTTTTGGCTGCGAACATCTTCCAAAAAACTTGGCATCTCTTAAGAATGGGCTAAAACATCTGGAACCACTTATCAAAACCACCCCGTATCTGCATGAAGTTCCACCCCCCACTGCTATTCCAAACAACGCGTTTTTCTGGACCATTCCAATTCGCCTCGTAATTGTAGGGGTGCGTCTGCAATATTACATTGACCGCGAAAGCAGCAACGGCAAAAATACACATTCGTGCATCAACACGGGCATGCCCGCAGACGGCGTATAAAATTGCGTGCCGATTACACAAAGAGAACCCAGTGTTTTGACTGCAAACATGAAAAATCAGCCGATCACAACACTCCGTCCGGAGGTCCTGACCTCCTTCACGGAGTAATAATGTAATAAGTGAAAGAGTGGGAAGCTATTGATAAGGAAAAGTTCCCGGGCAATCTATAGTTGGTTCCTAATACGTACATCTTGTGTCTAGCTCAGATATATAAAAGTGAAATAAGGACAGTGTACCCGTTATAGTTTGTAAACCATTATTTTGCTAATAACGTATAAAACAGCAGGAATTTAAGTAGTGCAACTTTAGCCACACTGACAATGTTTGCAACACTGGTAATATCTATTGGTGAATTTAGAACGCATCAATGCAGAAGCAACTTCTTCATGCTAGATCAATTCATTACAATGTATCAAACTTATTAGTATTACAAATGTATTGAATGAAGGCACCTTGCAATCCTATGTACAAAATGACATTTACTTGGGATTGAAATATTTTGTTCTTTCAAGTTCCAAACTACATCAACCTACATCTATAATGATAGTTCCAAGCCAACTGGTTACATTGCTCCGATTGGAACCAACATGATAGAGAAGGCCTAAACGAGGTAATTGTCTAAGCCAATGAATATGAAATTGTACATGGCCACTAATAGATGAGGTCACTGTTAAGTCTTTTTGGTTTGGAATACACACACACACATGTACAGTACTGATCAAAAGTCTGTGGACCAGAATCAGCGATAAGGAATCTGACATGAGGGAGAGTGGACTCGATCTGGAGTCAGTCAATCAAGCCACAGGCCCTCAGCAGGTTTTGGTGTGACTCTTCCCAGTACTTGGACTCCAAAAGCTCCTTCTTGTACTCTGCTGCTTTCTTGAATTCCCATGTGGAGTAGTCCAAGCTATCTTCAATCATCTCCGCCCATCGCTTTGCAGTTTCTTCTAAGTCGGACTCCCTAACGCTTGTTTTCACGATCCTGTGCCTCATGTCTGGAGAGCACTTCTCCTCCTTGATCAAGTCCTTGATCATGTCTGCTAGTCCTGACTTGTCAGAGATGAGTACGGGGATGCCTGCTGCGATGGCCTCCAGACCGATCAGTCCGAACGGCTCGGCGCGGGACGGCATCAGGACCAGGTGGGCCTGCCGCATGTCCTGAGCGATGTCCTCCTGGGTTCCACATGGCAGCAGGGTGGGTTTGATCTTACCACTGTGCAGGTTCTCTTCCAGGATTCTCTTGCTTGCTTCAAAATCATTTTCATCTATCCCGCGAACACACAATCTGATATTTGTGATCTTTTCTGCAACCTCCCCCATGGCCCGTGCTACTAGGTCATGGCCTTTCAGCTTGTCAACTTCGGTCACTCTCCCGACAGACAGCACGACTTTCTCTCCTCCTCCTGGACTAACAGAGATGGCTTCAAACACTGGGGATGGTCTTGGAAGAAACAGGAAGTGTTGGCTTGGTTTGCTTTCTCCAAGTGACTTGTACTTTGTCTCGAAGTAGTTGTAGATCCTTTTTCCCAAGGAGAACACGGCATCTGCATTTTTGGCATCCTCAAGGATGTCTTCCATCATCTTCCTTGCGGCCATCGCCCTCTTAGTTTCCTTGTAGTACTCGGTGTCTTCCGGCATGTCGTGGTTAAAGAGGATTAGTTTTGCCCGTTCACAGTGGTTCTCTTGAATGCTCTTTGCAGCGCCACTTGTGACATCTGCATGGCCCACAACGCACTTAATATTAGTTGGTATATCTGGGTAATGGAAGCTGTGGTAGTCGGTTAACCATTCCAAAGATGGCTTTTTCGTTTTCCTTGCTTTTTGGAAAGGCAAATGCAGACGAACACCATCCTCTTTAGCACACCTCTTGTCTTCTTCAGATGCTTGCAGAGCTGTAGCATGAACTGTAGCACCATGGAGTTTCAGAAACTGTGCCACCTCACGGTTGGTTGTAGAGGGACCTCCATGGGACGTGCCGTACTCGTGGTTAACCAACAGAACAGACGTGAACTCTGCAAATGAGAAACAATTATCTTATGACTAACTTTGTTAACAAACAATAAAGTACATAATAATGCATGAAACAAACTTTCATCGGTAAAATCATATGTCAATGTACATCTAGCAAAGTACGCAAGGTACTCACTTGTCCTCTGCACCTTTATTGTTGGATCACTGCACTCCCCACCGCTGACAGTTACAGCACTGATGGTATACTCAGTTCCTGCTGTTAACGTAGTGAAGGTGTGTTCCAGTGGGCCTCCAGGGTTCACACTTTCAGTAGGGTTGGTCACACCCGTGTCAGGACTGATGCTGATGTCATAGCTGTCTTTGGCTCCTGCTGCTTCTGTCCAGATGATCCTGATGCTGTTTTCTGTTGTTTCAGCAATGGTGATCGGGCCAGGCTGGGCTACAGCTGGAGAGATGGAAATGGAAAAACTGTCAATGCTTGACTCGAATTTCAGCATCATCTAACACTAGAGTAGTACATTTTTTTATAACGGAGTGGTTCAATGCAAGGCCTTTACAACCACTTCTCGACATTGAACTAGAAAGATGAGAGAAACATGGCTATGACAAGAGTGGCGGTGAATGTTAGATTTGAAAGCCTGTAGATTGTAGGTTGGTGGGAAACACTTGTCAGGGAGGGAATTCCAAAGCTTGGCCGTACGTGGAAAGAAACTGTCACTGTGAACAGATTTCGAACAAGGAATTTGGACGATGAAGTTATATGGGCTAGTGGAGAACGTGGTGGAACGCTTAAATGTGCAGCTAAAAGTCACAAAACCAAAGGATTGTGAGAATCATTGACACATCTAGCCATTCAACTACAACGCAGGGTGCTCACTTGTCCTCTGTGTCTCTATTCTTGCCACACTGTTTACCCCAACACTGACAGTTACAACACTGATGGTGTACTCAGTTCCTGCTGTCAGACCAGTGAAGGTGTGTTCCAGTGGGCCTCCAGCGTTCACAGGTGCACCAGGAGCAGTGGCACCATCAGTAGGAGAGATACTGATCCTGTAGCCGTCTTTGGTGCCAGCTGCTTCTGTCCAGGTGATGCTGATGCTGTTTTCTGTCACTTCGGCAATGTTGATGGGGCCAGGTTTGGCTGCATCTGCAGAAATTGGAACGAATGATTCCATCACTTTCAGCACTATGTAAAACCAGAGTGGCACTGTCTAGTCCCAAAAAATAGCAGAGCTGTAAAGAAAGTACAAAATTGGATACATCTAGCATTCAATGCAGGGAAGCGGTACTCACTTGTCCTCTGTGTCTCTGTTCTTGCCACACTGTTCGCCCCACCACTGACAGTTACAACACTGATGGTGTACTCAGTTCCTGCTGTCAGATCAGTGAAGGTGTGTTCCAGTGGGCCTCCAGTATTCAAACTTTTACTAGGACCGGCGACACCATCATTATTAGAGATGCTGATCCTGTAGCTGTCTTTGGCGCCAGCTGCAGCTGTCCATGTGGTCCTGATGCTGTTTTCTGTCACTTCAGTAATTTTTATGGCACCGGGCTGGGCTACAGCTTGGGGCATTGGAATGATGGAAAAGTTGTCAATGCTTCAATCACATTCCAGCATCATTTAAAACTAATTTAATAGTGGTAGTTCCTGATACCAAAAGAATAATCAAGCTTTAAAATCGTACATCGATGCATCTAACCAAGTACAATGTATGGTACCCACTTGTTCTCTGCGCCTTTATTGTTGGAACACTGCACTCCCCACCACTTACAGTTACAGCACTGATGGTATACTCAGTTCCTGCTGTTAACGTAGTGAAGGTGTGTTCCAGTGGGTCTCCAGCGTTCACACTTTCAGCGGAGTTGGTGAAACTAGTGTCGGGACTGATGCTGATAATGTAACTGTCTCTTTTGCCAGCTGCCTCTGTCCAGGTGATCCCGATGCTGTTTTCGGTAACTTCAGCAATGTTAATGGCACCAGGCTGGGCTACAGCTGAAGGTATTGGAATGATAAAAAGATGTCAATGCTTCAATCACATTTCAGCAGCATCTAACACTAAAGTAGTACAGCAAAAAGTGGCAAAACCAAAGAATAGTGTATTTGTGAAAATCATTAATACGTCTCGCCATTCAAGTACAATACAGGGTACTCACTTGTCCTCTGTGTCTCTATTCTTGCCACACTGTTCGCCCCATCACTGACAGTTACAACACTGATGGTGTACTCAGTTCCTGCAGTCAGACCAGTGAAAGTGTATTCCAGTGGGTCTCCAGGGTTCACACTTGCACTAGGAGCGGTGACACCATCAGTATTAGAGATACTGATCCTGTAGCTGTCTTTGTAGCCAGCTGCTTCTGTCCACGAGATCCTGATGCTGTTGTCTGTCACTTCAGCAATGGTAATGGGGCCAGGCTGGGTTACAGCTTGCTTTGGTCGCTTTACCAAGGGGCCACTGTTGCTGGATTTTCTCTTTCCACCTGTAATCAATATGAGATGGTTAGGCATTATAAGCTATGTTATGTTATGTTATGTTATGTTATGTTATGTTATGTTATGTTATGTTATGTTATGTTATGTTATGTTATGTTATGTTATGTTATGTTATGTTAGCGACTGTAAGAACACACAGAGTGAGAGAGTCAGAGAGTCAACAATGAGGGACGTCATCTTCGAAACCGAAGGACCGCCTTAAGCAAAGTAAGCATGTTAGCGACTATCGTCATACACATTTGAAGACTCAGGCAGAGGCAAAGAAGCATGGTACAAATTAATTTTTTTTACTTTTCTTTGGTTGTATCTGGGACGCTTTGCTCCTGACAACCACAGCTTCATCCTCTTGTTGAACCTGACTTGTCTCTCCCTCATCTGCAATGGACATATGTCAACACTTAGCTAAGAGTTTCATGAAATCCGTATATGGAAACCACCATCTCCATGGAGCCAAAAGGAGACAAAGTGCAGGAAACTACGGAAGTAAGTCTGTCTAGCGGAATAATGCGGTTTTATTTGTTCGACTGTCGCTCTCCTGAGCCTCTGCATTAATGATAAATTGATGTGTACAAGCTATGTTGGATACCTGTGTGGTTGTTCCTGTCGCTGTACTGCTCGACTGCTTCATGCGTTCGTGACAATGTCTCTGTGCGTGGTTCTTCTTGTTCCGATAAGACTTCCTCCATTGTTTCCTCCAATTCATCTGGCTCCTCTGTAAAGCAGATTTGTGCGGATGTATAATATGTTACAGCGGAGGCCAGTTTAACATTTCATTTTCAACAGACTTACGAGGTAACATGGTCGGTTCTACACTATTGTTGGTTTTCTAAATATACGGTTTCTATAGGAACAAGTAAATATCTAAAAATGACTACATGTATGTACCTGCATGTAGGTCTAATCACTGTAGTGAGGTATCCAATTTCTTGACCAATGATAGATGATGTGCTGAATTAAGTATTTTAGAGCTAAGAATAGTTAGATAGTTAAGTTTTGTGCCTTACCCGACATTCCTGAATTATGAGATCCTGTGGACCCACTGTACCCAGCGGCCGTGTCGTCTGTGGGCAGGCTTCTCTCACCGAAGGCCTGACTCCGACGGTAGTTGGCGATAAAATTCTGAATGGGCATTACAGATAACATTATCTTACAGATAACATTGTCCTGCCTATATTAATTTACAACTGATTATCATCAAAAAGACAACTCACCCTCACTTGTTGTGCTGTTTTCCCGCTCTTCTTTGCTGCTTCTTCTATCAAAGGACTATTTTTAGACGCCACGGTCATTCCTCTTTCTTCATAGAACCGGACGAGTACAGGATCGTGCCCCTTCCTACGTTTGGAGACTCCCTGTTTACATGAACAGTGGGTTTTTATTGATAGGGCAGCAATTCCATAAGATAAAGATATTCTATCAAGCACACTTCAATGTACCGTAGCTGAAATTTGACATGTATAATGATATATGTACATGTTTCTATAGATAAGTCACAGCCCTATTTCTGAATCACCTATGATAACTGGAAGTGGGCCAGGGTGCCCTCGTAGCTGAATGTTTTAACGCAATGTTGATGATCATGCCTGCCAAGTGGAATGAAAAATCGTCGAGTTTTAAATTTCAGCATACGTACGTGGAACGCATTCACTTTATAACATCGTCAAATGGTTGGTAAATATTAGCCACAGCATTACATGTTTGAAGAGATTCATCAGTCATGTATAGATTAACAGTTAGTAGAATATTCGTCAATCAATGACTTTTTTGAAAGGTAGCAAACACGTGCCTCCAAAAAATCAAGAAACATGTAAGACCCACATAAAGATCAAGGAGGCAGTCCACAGTCAGTTGCCTTGGAACGTGCTGTATAATGGAACGAATCGTAATGAAGGTATGGAACTGCCCAAGTCCTATTTACCTCTACTCCGTAAGGAGGCGGGGGAGGCCAGAAGATCTACACAAGTCTCGATCTGGTCTCGTGTTCTCGCAAGAATAGGTCACTCCGTGATAAAGACACATTTTGGACGTCGAAAATTTGGAGGTGCGTGTATGCTACCTTTCTAAACAGTCACTTATTGATGAATATCTACTGTCAAAGTGTTTGAGAATGCATTACAGTTTTCTTTACTTTACGATATAATACTTCATCATTTTGTATTACATAATTGTTGTAGAGACTCACATCATTGTGTTGTCGCGGAAGCTTCAGTATTTCCTTTTGACTCTGACTGACTCGTTCTCTCTCATAATCATTGTTCCTGATGTCCTCATCTGCAGATTGAAATTGTGAATTTTATGGATAAGTTTTAATCAATTCCATAAGTGAGATAATTCATTGTAATCTTTATCATTAAAGAGCCTACCCACGTAAATACCAAGAAATGTTAGACTGAAAGTCTGCCAGTTATAGACTGAATATCCAATATATTCCATATTTAACTAGAAAGGCCAATATTTGCTTTGGAGCAAATACAGCGATGGGTTCACCACATTTTACGACATGGCAGGGAAAGAATGAGAAACACAAGGGAAAACAATGATTTACATTGATATAACTATAATATGAAGTAACATACAACTAAAACAACAGTTGGATAGCTATTCCCTACTTTATTGGTTAGGATTTTTAATTGCATAATGCAAACTGTTGATTTTCAAAAATAAAAAAAAAACGTTACATGCCCCGCATTCCAATGCTGGAGCAGAAAAGTTTGAAATACCTACCAAAACACTTGAATAAAGACATACTGTCAGTATGGAAATGCTCTGTGCAGGTGTTATTAACAATCACATAAACTATGAAGCCATACATTGAATAAGCTATACATATAATATGATTATCATAACCTTTATTTTTAAAATCATGCCAGTGAGCTAATTGCATGTACAGAGTGAAAGAAAGTAAAGTAAAGCAGTAGAATTTCTGTACTAGCTATGATAGTACTTCATATGATTCGTCCTCATCGTCATCATTCAATGTGGTCTATCTCTTGCTACTAGTGACTGGTAATACCTCTGTAGATTCTTCACACTGGCAGAGTACCGTACTCCTTCTCTCTTGTCAGCTCAATACTTTTGTGACAACATCAAAGTGATTTTAGTTTGTATGTTGGAAAAATACAAAAGACTAACATTCTAAGTTATTGACATTCTTGAGTAAGAACAATCAGTTTTTGAATGTTAAAAGCAAAACAACGAAAATAAAAAAATAGTTGTAATTGTTAAAATGCAGAATTGTTAAAATCGTTAAAACTGATAAAATTGTTAAAAATTATAAAATTGTTAAAAATGTTAAATTGCTAAAAATATTTATGTCCGATGCACTGGGGTTCGAACTTGCAATGCCTGGGATTGCCGCCTTGCGCGTTTCCAACCGAGCTAACTCGGTGCGATACACATCACTCACTGCATTGTATGTCATAAAAAGTAAACAGCATGGCGGTATCGATCGCCTAAAGCCACCAAGACTTTCAACTATTAACTACGGGGTTTCCTTCTTTATCAGGTTTGCTTTTGAACCACCTTGATGTTACTTAACTATCAACCCGGCTAGCAGAAGCCGCCGGCTCCTTGATATTACAGCCGCTCCCTGTCCATCTTGTTTACACGCCGGGCGCAGGTCATTGACCTCCAACTTGCGTTGTTCCAACAGAGAAGAGCAAAATGTCTGGCTCCCGCAGAACGTACCGCACTCTCCCGCTGGACGTACCGCACTCTCCCGCAGAACGTATCGCACTCTCCCGGAGGACGTCCCGCACTCTCCCGAGGGAAGTCCCGCACAGCGTCCTGCACTCTCCGCAGAACGTCCCTCGAAAATTGATGCGTATTTCGTGGCCTGTGCTGTACCTACCAAAACACTTGAGTTCATACTGTCAAAATGGAATGGCTTTGAACAGGTGTTAATTGAGTTAATCCAATCAAATCCAACAGCCAATCAGCAAGAAGAAAAGATTAGGCTGCGTCAGGTTCATGC